TTTGGTTCCTAATCAATATTTTTTCCTCAAGATGGTTTCTCTGTGTAGCCCTGGCTGTCCTCCTTCTATAGACCAGGCTGGCCTCGAACTCAGAGATCCACTTGGCTCTGCCTCCCGAGTGCTGGGACCATAGCTGCACTCCACCACTGCCCAGCTACAAATAACAGTTTTATATTAATTAATGAGACAGTAGAGTGAGCACCAAAGAGGCTGTCATTTTTTTCATGTTTTTATTAGTGATAGTGGACTTGATGTAATTACATCTTCCATCGACCCTTTTGACTGGAGGTTCACAGGCTCCCCCTCCTTGTAACTTCAAGAAAATGAATGTGAATTCCTCTTTCTTGTAAGCCTATTTATACTGAGAAACAAGTTTCCTTTGCCTCCTATTCTATACAAACATTCATTGTTTTGTTATCATTATTAATAGTTTTTTCTCCTCCCACTTCAGGAGGCTCAGTAGTTTGCATGCTTACAATGAAACATGGTTTGGTTAGCCATGTGTAATGTCCAATGCCTTTAATCCCAGCATTTGGGAGGCAGAGGCAAGTGAATCTTTGTCAGTTCAAGGCCAGCCTGATCTACATAGAGAGTTCCAAGACAGCTAGAGCTACATGGTGAGACTGTCTGGGGTGGGAGGTAGGACAGACTAAACATGGTTTAGGTGATTTTTATTTAAAGTGTCCGTTTTCAAAAGCCAACCTTCCTGGCCAGGCGGTGGTGGTGCACACCTTTAGTCTCAGCACTTGGGAGGCAGAGCCAGGTGGATCTCTGTGAGTTCAAGGCCAGCCTGGTCTACAGAGCTAGTCCAGGACAGGCTCCAAAGCCATAGAGAAATCCTGTGGGCAGAGTGTGTGGGGGGGGGACCAACCCCAAAGCCAGCCTTCCACAAAATGCTTTTAAAAATAAAAACCAACAAAAGAATTCTTACAGTTCCTCAAAAAGATGCACAGGACATAATGTCACATAGACTAGAATTTTCACAAAATTTACTGAAACCAGGCTTGGTGGCACACATCTTTAATCCCAGCACACTGGAAGAAGAGATAGACAGATCAATGGAGTTGCAGGATGGCCTGCTTGACTTAGCTCTAGATCAACCAGGACTATACAGTAAGACTTTATTTAAAAAAAAAAAAAAAAAAAAAAAAAAAGCTGGAGATCAACAAGATATGTACAGTTTACTGAAGGGAAAAAAAATCCCACGACCTTGAGTTTGGGGGATAAATAATTTAAAGCCTGGAGGGTCCAAATATTGGAGTTCTCAACTCCCTTAAACCTTGAGCCATGATGGCTTTCTGTGGATTTAATGAGCTAAGGCAGGTAAAAAGCTACTGAAGCCGGGCAGTGACCAGGCACACCTTTAATCCCAGCACTCAGGAGGCTGAGGCCATTGGATCCCTGAGTTTGAGCCCAACCTGGTCTACAGAGGGGTTGCAGGACAGCCAAGACTACACAGAGAGACCCTGTCTGGAGGGTGGGGAGAAAGAGGGGGAACTATTGAAAATGACTGGCACAGAGTAGGATCTAGTCAGCATAGGTAGAGGCAGTTTGGGGGTTGTATTGGGTCAGGCAAACATGGAAGATGTCTGCAGACCTAGGAAGGATTTGAACTCATGAAGAGGAAGAAAGAAGGCATTCCGATGGAGCACGTTCAGTTGTACACTCCAGCTCGTGATCTGGAAAGCCCCATTCCTGTATCTCTCTCCAACCCCACCCACTCAGTCTCCGAACAAAGGAAAGGCACCAAAAAGTCCAGTTCCGCATTCTTGGCATCGATTGCGGTTTCCTCCCCTGAAGTTGCCGGCCACCCACGTCTCTGCCCAAAGCTTTTGACCATACTTGGGTGGACACATCATCACCCCTTGCCTACAACCTATAAAGTCTCCCTGCTTCCATTTGTGGGGGTGGCTTCTCCAGCCTTGATCTCTGGGACCGGAGAACCCATCTGGGAGGTGCTTTGCTCAAATAAATCTGTTAATACTTTTTCAAGTTGGGCTTGATCTGACTTACAGCATCAGTGGAGAAACTTATTATGGGGCGCAGAAAACCTATTAGAGTGCAGCTCCACTCTGAGGCAAGAACCAGTTGGGGTTAAAACTCTACTCTAGGAAGGAGAGTTGGTTCAGCTGCTAAAATTACTAGCTGCTCTTCCACCAGAGGATCCTAGTTTGATTCCCAGCATCCAGCAGTCTATACAGAGGTTCACACCCATCTGTGACTTCAGTTCTGGAGGCTCCAGTGCTCTCTTATGACCTCCTCTACCTGTACCAGGTGAGGATGGTATACAGACATACATGCAGGCAAAACACCATAAACATTAAATATTTTTTAAGTGGGGCTGGAGATGTGGCTCAGTGGTTGAGAGCACTTGATGCTCTTGCAGAGGAACCTAGTTCAGTACTCAGCACCCACAAGATGACTCTCAACTGTCCTTAATTCCAGTCAAATGATAAAACGTTTAGAAGATCTGATCTTCTAAATTCCTCTGGCAGACACTTGGGTGGTACCCACACACATGCAGGCAAAAACACTCAGACACACAAAAACAAAGTAAATACTCAAAAAAGAATTGTAAAATAAATGAATTCATTTTTAAGAATTTCACCATTACCACCTATCTGTTTCCACCAATGTATTTGAGGGGAAAAAATGCCTTCATTTATTACTTTTTTGTTGTTGTTCTGTAACCATAAAAACATCAGGGAATTGTTTGCAGAGGAATGTGTTATCTGGGACAATTAGAATCTGTGCCTCTTGGTCACTCATATTTGGTTCAAAAACAAACTCTTTTCCCTTTGAAGTGAGAGCTGTGTTTTGTGCAAGGTAATAGCATTATTATGTTTTGAGTAATGCTGTGTGATGGGAAAAGATATGTAAAGAATCAGGGTGGGGGTCCTGTAGCACTGAGAAGGCAAATAGCAGACTATGTCCTTAAAGGTCAAAAAGACAGATGTGGTGTGTGTGTGTGTGTGTGTGTGTGTGTAACAGTGGAATGCTATTCGGCCATTAAAAATTAAATCCTCTCAGGCCAGGCATGGCGGTGCACATCTTTAATCCCAGCTCTCCGAAGAGGCAGAGACAGGAGGACCTCTGAGTTCAAGGCTATCTTGGTGTACTTAGTGAGTTCCAGGATAGCCAGAGCTACATAGAAAGACT